TAAAGCAACAACCTGTCTCCCAAAGGTAGTCCCAAAGATGTTTATTGGATTTAGGCCCGGAGATTGAATTGGTCATTCCATCCACTCCACATCGTGACCCTTCAGCAACCCTAGCTCAATGCGTTCTCCCACTATCGCCCATCACAAGAAATCCAGGACCAATAGCAGAGACATATGAGCGGACATATTGATCAATGATCTCGTCTCGATATCTCACACCCATCGAAGTTCCTCCATGGAACAAATGTAGGATAGTATGACCACCGAGAGAAATCCCAGCCCAAACCATTATTTCATCACCTCTGTAACTGTGTCTTTCCATAATGTGGGATTGGTTGTATCTGGTACATTTCCCCCTCCAGATCAGCTGACAACCTGAATCATTCTCCAATCTGAACCAGGACTCATCTGTGAAGAGAAAAGAGACACGAGCACATCTATAGACTAGAAGAGAAACAAGCTAATGTGACAATCAAAATCGTAAAAACAACCTTGTATTTGAGTAAGTATATTGAAACACTCAATCAATTTCGAGGGCAGCTAAAGGTCCCTCCTCATCAGGAGAAAGAAATACATAGAAAGAAAAAAAATAAAGGGGAAGAAGTCTCAGAAACACGTGGTCCTTATCAGCACTGCACGTGGTTATAACCGGATTTTTAATCAGAGTTACACTGGCCGCCTACTTTTACTGAGCCAGGCTATCTGATCAAACATGTAACACAAAGAAGAAGAAAAATTAGCGAAGTTAAAAATAGGGAGCGAGGGGCAACTGCTATAAAACCGTGGGGTGCATTTTGCACCCATAAATGATGATATGTGAAATCTGTTAATGCATATCAAAGTTGGATCTAGGACTTTTCGCCGGGATGTTTCGCAGTGAAGGCATATTTTACTTTACATGACTGTATTATATCTTGCCGTATTATACTCGTATTAAATTTATTTAGTTTAATAAGTCTATTCACCTTTTTGTACACTTAACAAAGGTTGCTTGTAATACATATAGTTATTTACAAGTATGAGTTATAAAGAAATTGCACATAGTTAGTTGAAAAATCATGTGAGTATCAAAGAGAATTGGGGCTAAACCTATGATATTAAAGAAGTTATATTATCGATTTTAAAATTATGCGTGTACAATATTTACATAATTCGCCAAAATTTCTTGAAATTTTAATCGGCTAGTTTAGAGAAATCACTCATACAAGCAGGAAATTCACATTTTTATGAAATCGGAATGGAAAACGGAATTACTTTGGGATCTAGTCAGCACCATTACTGTCTTAAAATTAATATGTCATGTATAACGGTGTATTTGTATAAAACTGTACACAAAAACATTTGATATATTATTTTATATAAAATGTTTATAAAATTAAATTAAATTATTAAACTAAACAGAGTTATTAATTTAAATCAACTTTAATATAATGCGACAAGATATAGTACAGTCTTGTAAAGAAAATATGTCTTGACGGCGAAACGGCCACGGCAAATAATCCCATTCCCGTTAAAGCTTGCTCTATTATGAAAATAAAGTTATGTGTTTAAATCAACGGCTCCGTTTAAACGGTTTTCTTGTTTTTCCAATTCTCAAGTCGGATGCTGAATTATTTTTAAATAGCCGATATGATTCGAAACTGTCCGGGAAGCATAGAAACATTCTATACCGCACCACACGCATAGGGAAAAATACACCCTCAGGATTGGGTATGGCTTCCGATGAGATCATTTCCTCTACGCTTAGGAAGCCTGTGCTTAGACTCGAAAGCACACCTCCATACCATTTGTTTACATTTTGATAGCAGCATCGAAAAGATTATTACTGTTAATGATGTGCGCTGTATTTTTGGTGCCATGAGATTACATTTCTTACGTCATTGTAGTGTGGTGAATTAAATTAAAAAAATTTAGTGAATTTTTCCCCTAGAGAGAAAAAAAAAATGATTTCCTCTAGTGTGTTAAATCCGTAAATGTGTATTATTATTAGGTGCAGAGATTTTTAATAAATGTATTCTTAATTTAAAACCGCTCATAGTAAACGTGTGGTGATTATTATGAGTAATTCATTATTTCATGTTCGTTATATACCCATTCTCTGCACATGAAATCTCCGAAAATATGAGATAAGTCAGTTTTAGTAAATAGAAAAAATGTTGTGAAAAAATACGTAATACACAGTAAATTCACTATATTTGTAGTCAGTCAGGAAGAGTAAAATTTATTTTTGAATTTAGACTGCTATAGATTTGGATTAGAGAAATAAAGATACGTATGTTTAAATTGAATAATATTACTTTATGAATATTGCCCATTTTTAATGTGCAATACCTTTCGTACCTTTGTGTAAAAATAGTGTTTATCAGAAAAGGACGCTCCTTTTCTTATACACATGTATTAAACTCAGCGACAATACTAAATGCACTTTTTTTTTTTCATTCTAGACAACAGAATATTAGAAATGGGAAAGACATGGACGCGAACATAAAAATAACATATGCAGTTACAAAGGAAATATTTTCTGCAATGTGAAAGGAAACGAACGCAGCAAAATTGCAATAATAATATACTTACAAGCACATAGTGCCTTTACAGTTAGGTCGAAATCGTCGGGTAATCCAATGTGTTTTGATTTTGTACTACATTCTAGATCTTGCTATTTATATAATCTAAGCGCTTAAGTTTGCGTCTGGTATTAACAGTATCTTTAAAGGAGTTTATAATTTTATTATTCCATGAAACAGGAAGCCATCTGCGGAACGCTGAAAGTAAATCTTTTCGTCTGTCATTATTGTTCGTCTGACATTATTGTTAAAAGAAAACAAACGATAATTTTAACATTTACCCGTGTCACTCATCCACCTCACTCAAGGAAAACAAAACCGTAAGAATCCCTCCTAAACTTCAATACTCCAAGAGAAAACGATGTCATCGGAAAATACGCGCAATCACAAGCTCGGATTTTTTCCTATGCGCGTGGCGCTTATATGCCGTGAATGCTTATATGCGTCCGGGAACGCATATAAGAATTTTAGACGTGGCCGTTGATTTAAACACATAATTTTATATTTTTTATGGACAAGCCTTGATACGCATAAATAGGTTTCGCACGGCATCATTTATGGGAGCAAGATGCGTTTCGCAATTTTATACAGCTTACATCTTTTTAGTGGTGTGGTGGTGTATTTAATTATGGCAAAGCACACTAGGGCTATCTGCCTAAGGGGGGGATGCCTTCTTGGAGGACTTTCTAAGGGAAACTGGCGTATACACGTTACACATGGGGAAAACCACGAAAACCACCCATGCAGCCAGCCCGTTCGCGGGATTCGAACCTTGGACCGAACTACCAGTGTTCAGCGACTTTACCGCTCGGCCGCTGGTGTGCCCTACATCTTTTTAGATTAAAGGCGAAGCGGAGGAGCAAAGCGATGCATTTTAGCACCAAAACAAAGTAGAAAAGAGGCCAGGCAGTAGTAACAGCGGTATTTATAAATTTGATTTCTTTGTTTAAATTGTGGATTTGCGATTGGATACGAGCTGTCGCAATGCAGGGGAATTACGTAAGCAAGCATGGAATGCAAAGACACAGTCCAGAGCAATTATTATAAACAATTTAGAACAGAAAGGGGTGATAGTCAAATTAAAATGGGGAAAAATTAATATAAAATAAATTTTAATTAAAATAAATATAATATTTATTAAATTAAATTAAACTTTAAATTTTAATTTATTGCCAAACTAAATTTAATGTTTTAGAGTTACATTTTTTATATCTCGCATGCATATACCAGGCCTTTTCTTCGCAGTTCATTTTAGATTGCTACCCCTGACAGAATATTCGTTTCTTTACCATAAATGCAGTTAATCAATTGTTACTTGTATTTAATGGAACAAGTTTAATCTTACATCTGGTATTCTTTATGACTGATTAAGAGAGGAGTCACGGATTAGCCACTTTCTTTCTATAGGTTTCTATCTTCGCTGAATTTTTCTTTATTTAGTTCTGAAAACAAGTTGGTTTGCTTTTCCAGTGGCAGATATCTCATTTGAAAAAATGTACTTTGTTTCTCAAATAACAAGTAAAGCGATCATAGTGTGAATTAAGTAAATGTTAAATTAATAAATCTTCTAATTGTTGCTATAATCATTTTCAGACTCAGTAATATTTGTAAAACTTGAAACTCGTTTAAATATTAATGAAACGTTTATCCGTATAAAAATTCAGGGATGAGTATTGCCTTACTGTGAGGTTGCATCTTAATAAATCCATTGAGAAGTTGGAAAGGTATCTCATATACCTAACGTTCCGTCTATTAAATCCTAGCTCGCTTTAAATATGTGCAGAAAATCTGCAGTAACCTATGGTTTGGTAAAACCAAACACTGCGAAGGAATTTTAATATTATATTGCATATTGAATGGGAAGGGGAAAAACAATAGAAACGCTGACTTTTAATATATGTAGTTGGCTTGAGTATGTAGAAAGCATTGAACGTAAGTTAGTTGGTGCATCGTGTAGTGATGCTGCATTTAAAAAAATTCATTAGTTTATGTCTTCTGGTGAGGTTTGAGAGACCGGTATGTATTGAAAATTTAGCAGACATACTGTTCTTCCGGAAGTTTGCAAGTTTTTATTTCACAATTTTGAATTAATCCGGAAATTTGCTAGCAAGAACACCGTATATATAATATTCGGAATATTTGCTTTTATGCGTTGCCCGAAATCTATAATATGTGTATCGTATATGGTGGATTGCTGGCCGAATAAGAATTAGATTCGAAGCATGAAGCATTGCTTTCGTTTCATCGAAAAATCGTTGAGTCGAACTTTTAAGAATTTCTTATAATGATGTTTCATTGTTTAGGGATCGAAGTAATAATTGTAAACATAGTGTGCAATTAAGTTTTCAAAAGTTAACGAAACATAATTGCATTAGAAGAATGTAACATTTTTATTAACATATTTTAATGAACAATTTTATTTATTTTCTTGCATAGTGATTAGAGAAGATTTCCGAGTGGTGCCAAAGTCCGTATCGGCTGCAGTTGGCGAAAGTGCTACTTTGGAGTGCACTCCTCCCAAAGGACATCCTGAACCAACCGTGCGGTGGCGAAAAGACGGGGATGTAGTGAATGCAGGAAAAGGAAGAATTCGCATCGTACCTCCTGGTAATCTGGTTATTTCTGAAGTTCGCCAGAGTGATGAAGGCCGATATGCTTGTGTGGCTGAAAATATGGCTGGAATACGTGAATCCGGATCTGTGCATATGGCTGTTCACGGTAAGGCATGGAAATACTTTGCATTTATTTTGTTTATGAGTTCTGTAATTCGTAACTCTGTTATATAGGAAGCCTTATAAATCCTGTATCAAAAACGTAATAAGATACTTTTGCTATACAAGAGTACCTCAAGGTTGCCGAAAGATTAACTGCTATCCGAGAGTATATACCTTGATCACAGTTGCTGTACGAGAGACTTCAAATTTTCCTTAATCATTTGCGTGTGAAAATAATTTTAATTATACTTTTCTTGTCCGAAATGGAATGGGAATATTCATTAAATAAAAAGAATGCTAATCTTTCCTATCATTTGTCAAAGAGATTCTTTGCATTTGTCTCACTGGTTGAAATGAAACGTGTATGACATATAGAAATAAACAGATTAAATGAATGAGACAGCAAAGAGATAATTACTCGTCGATCAATAAAGACAAAATATTAAATGTTACCGTACAGCAAAAGGATTGATTTCTTTATCAGTTTATCCAATGATCAAATGTTTACCTTGTCGGGATAGCGCCTACGAGTTCATTCCTGAATCTGAAGATGTAGATGAATTAGCTGACGCAAAAGGAAGCTATCAGGTTTTAAACTGGATCTCTGGTGTAGGTTTCCGCATTAAAAGGCATCAACCCAAGAAGAGCTTGGTGCGAACATAGTTATTTTCCCGCCATTCAACATCAGAAATTTCCTTTTCCTTTCTTCTTTTAATAAAGTGTTTCTTTGTTGTGCTTGAGACTACTTCTCAACAACACGTCATTTAAACTCACCGAATAAAGCTTTAGGGAGACTAATTTTATGCATATATATTAATAAAAATGCAAAGGTATAAAATAATCTATAAAAGCGTAAGATAATTTGATACCAAAGTCGATGAATATTTTGAACTGTGGTGTAATTCTTTACCCCCCCCCCCCCCCAAAGTTCTGTATATCATGGTGGATCTTTTTTATTTCAACAAGCGGTGAAATTTCTGACTTCTGAAAAATGCATAATAAATTGAATTTAAGCTGTTATTGCTATTTTTATAAATCAAGGGTTGACCTTTTTTGGAGATTGCAGTATTCACCCAAGAGTTTTTAAAAAGAATTTATAAGCTTATAATTGACCCGTAGATACATGAGTTACTTAAACATTTTGAAAACGTTGTTGTTATTATTATTTTATATTATATAGAGCTCTTAAAATCTGCTTGAAAAATTACTAAATTTCCGTCTACATTATGTTTATCATTTATCTTCGATCGCGCGTCATGAACCTGTTAAAAGTAATCCATAGACCTCAAACTAAAAACCACAATAAAAGAATCAATGCTTTCACAAATAAAGTAGAATTCTTTCTGTTGATTTTTCTGCCATTTTTGAACTGCATTGATTTTTTTAAAATTTATTATTATTTATTACGTGCTTCGCCATTAGGCACTGCACGGAAAGGAAGGGATGCTCCGTGGAAGTCTTTTTAAGGGAAACTTTGGCCCATGAAAACGCCCATGCAGCCACTGCGTTCGCAGGTACTCGAAGTCCGGACTGAGCTACCAGTGTTCAGAAGCTAACTAGTTTGATTTATTAGGGGCTTTTTATGCACACATAGTGACCGTGAAGAAGCATTTAATGTCGGCTTGCTTTTTTTCTTGCTATTTTTGACTTTGGATTGTTGAAATTGTGCTGTGTTTGTTCAAAGCTCTTAAGAATTTTAGTTTTCTTTTGATCATTTATAAACTTTAAAGCTTATTAATATAGCTAAATTAGCTATATTAATAAGCTGTAGCTAAATTACCCATTCTATCTCTATCAATAATTAACAGCCATTTAGTTCAGTATTTTGTGACATAATAAAACATGAAATTCTATTTTAGGTGGTGTTGATAAAATTTATAGCAAGATAAGATACCTCATGAAAATATCTGTTTAGTTGAAGTAATTTGAAGGAACACTATCCTCATCAGAGGCGTAGTTAAGGTTTTCAGCGCCTGGGGACACTAAAGATTTTGCGCCCCTTTCTGTGTTCCAAGAATGGGAAACATATCATTCTAAAATTTGTAGCATCAATTTGGCGCCCCTTGGATGCTGCACCCGGGGACAGATGTCCCCCCTTGCTCCACCCTAGCTATGCCACTGATCCTCATGTACATCCTCATGTATGGCTCCAACGTGCTTGTCAATAATTCTTTGATAAAATGGGTGACTAATTAATGTTAGCTATATATTCCGAGTAGTAACATTGCTATGCAGGAAAGGATTTTTAATTAATTCTGGTAATGAATTCTTATCATACTTACTTTTCGGCTGTAGAAATTGCTTTTTATATTATTATATCATTGTGATTATGCATATTTAAATTTATCATTCTGTTTCATTTGGTTTAAAAATAATATATGTAAAAAAATTAATATATGTAAATTACTAAAAAAAATTACATATTTTATTTTTAAAGCCACAAGGCTTCAAATTGTATGTCAACATAAAAATGAGAAAGGCCTATGCTGGCTTTATTTTAGTTGCCTATCCTGAATAATAGCATAAAATTCCTTATTAATATTATCACAAACTTCTTGAGTGTGTCGATGTTATGCATTGCGTCTTGTAAAGGAGGTGGGAGTAATTCTTCATTACCGGCTTTTACAAGCCTTATCCGGAAATTTATTTTCAAACAATTTTTAGTTGCACTTAATTTTGACGTCATTACATTGGCACATGTTCGTTATGTATAGTTCCGTCTGGCTTTGTATCGAACTTTTTTTCGAAGCTAATTTCTCGCAAGTTGCTGCTTTTTCATTCATTGCTCCCCATGCCAGAAACAGTTATTTTCAACGTTGATACAGAAAAACCCTTCCCGTCATTTCGTCTTCTTAGTTTGTTTTCTAGTTAAATTCTTTTGTTTCTTGACATCGTAGCAGCAAGCGTAACGAACAAATAATCATAGATTTAAAAACTGTGTACCAAATGACACAAAAATTAGCATGAATAGGAAGAATCGAGGCAGAGATGAAACGATGTATAAATGAGAAGTGCATAAGGCGTTACTCCATTGTGTCGGATGTTTCAAAAAGCCTATACACATCTTTTGTACTACTCCTTTAATTTACCACTCATGACAACTATATTGTTTCAAAGATATACGAGCTGCATTCCTGCATCCTGCGGGGATTTACATGCTGTCAAGCCGAAATGTTTTCGAGAGGTTATGGTCTGGAAAAATCGGTTAAGAATCCTCGAATTTCATTCTCTACTCCTCAAATTTTTTTGTCAAATTTCAAATGAAACTTAGGCATCAGTAACTCTTGCCGTCTGGAGTGGTCATTGATTTTGGCGTCTGGGGCAGTCCCTGAACTTGCTGCCCTTCTTGATATATAAGCAAGTTACTTCTTGATATATAAGCAAGTTATTTCTTGATATATAAGCAAGTTCTTGATATATAAGTAAATTGTCATAGTGGCATATAGGGAAATAAATTTACATTTTTATATTTAATTTTGTAGAAAAATTTTAACTCCAGCTTTTTAAATTATACTATTATTTTGCTTCTTTTGTTCTCAAAGTCATCAATGGCATCGTAGTGGTCTAGTCGTGTGCTCCATTTGCTCTAATGATATAGAGACTTCTTAAATTCAAAATAAATATTTATAGTTCTAAAATACTTTCTAAATGATTTTGTATTTAGGAAAACTTTTCTCATAACCAGTACTACGTACAGCATTTGTGAGGAAAGTTCGTAACAGCATTACAATATTTTTAACTTTGTTCTGGATATTATATTTTAGAATAAACTTCAAAAATTCAAAATGACCGCAGTTCCATGTTCCTGTTTCGTCATCCCTAACAGTAACGGAAATAAAACTCGTGAAATATTTCTCTCTTAACGAGGAATTCTTCATTATTAATGTCACTGTGATCATAATTTAGCTGATTTTCGTAATTTCATTCCGAAGTTTTGACGGAATAAAAAAGGTATAACAAGTGTATGTAGCTGTTGAAATCTTGTGGTAATTTTTTTTTATACTTTACCTCGAGTGAAAACTGTTTTTTCTCCTCAGTTTAATTTGGTATGCGCTCCCCAAAAATGTGTTGCCCGGGGCGGACCGCTCGCTCTAACTACTCCCTGTTACGCATGGCAATCCTTATATATTTTATCTTAAATAAACTAACATATTCTTTTCTGAAATATGTGTATTGTATTAATATATTGTGCTTTTTATCACGTAGTTAAAAATTATAACGTTGTAAAAATGCTCATAATGTGTTTTAAAAATTTCCAGTTAAACCATTCTTTGTCAAGGAGCCTGAACACCTAACAGTGTTGGCTAACGCAGATGTTTCATTTCCATGCAAAGTGGGTGGCGATCCTCCTCCAAGTGTGTCATGGCGTAGGAAAGATGGAAAAATGCCTGTTGGCAGGTTAGAAGTATATTGTGATTATTTTGATTTATGTACTTTTAAAACAAGCATTGCCTTCAGTGTACAAAAGGTTTAAAATCGCGGTTGTAAATGTGTATATCTATATTTTCTTAGTAAGTTTTTAATACTTAACGTAAAAACCAATTGTTTAAATATCTGTTCTTTCTCATGAAGTGCTAATAACTTGATGTGTGTGAGTTAATACATTTTTGAACTCATTCTTTTGTATTTTTAATATTAATACATGGTTTTGACGTATGGGAAGAAATGGGAGTTTTTAAACTTATTCTTCAGGTATAAGTGCTTATTTGTTATATATTTCTAAAGTCTGATGTTGACAGTTTTCAAAAACTGGATAATCAGAAACCTTTTATATTTTTCTATTTATTTAGCTTTTAATGGATGTGCTACAGTCGCGAAACATTGTTTACGTAGCTTTTTTTCTTTTTTTAAAAATTTAATTTCCATAAATTTTTGTTTTTGTGAAGTTCAAACAAATAAAATGGAAATTATGTTTTGAATGTTATTCCTTATATCTTGGTATGCATTTCTGTAAATGAAGAAAAGTAAGTGTTATGAGATCAGTAGGTTAGATTTTTTTTTTTTAATAAAATTTTTTGTGCAGATGCATATTTTAAAAGCATTTGTTGGTAATTTATTTTCCCCAGCAGTTTAAAGTAATTTGGGGAATAGCTTGAATATCAGTCTGATTATTTTGTCATACAACATTCAAACGTTTCTTTCTTGAAGCCCTAGTTTCTTGACACAAGCGAGCCAGCCGCATTAATTAAGCGAACAGTCATATGTTAGGGTTAAGGTTCTGTGTATTCTTTTGAGAGCTTAATGTTATTGTAAAAGAAAAACAGCACTGCTAGGTTAGTTGCTTCCTGAAGAACTGTCGAAACTGTTTAATACCATTACCAAACCCGTAATAAATCCGTTTACTTACTTTTCAGAATAAACCCATAGACATATTTGGGGTGGGGGGTAATCATCCAAAATTTTCCAACCCTTAACCTTCCCCCTTTTTCCTTTCCTTTGCCTCGTCGTGCTTCCATTGTTGCTGTTTCATACCAGGGCTCTAACTAGTCTGTAATACAGTCCTAAGAAATCCAAAAGTCCAAAGAGTCGACAAGGCTTTCACTATTGATTCAAAACGCGGACGTCAAAACGTGAGTAATTTGTAAACTATCGTCAACACCGTCGTCATACTTAAAATAAAAAGACGTCTGGTGTAAGACCATTCACTTTAAAAAAGGCAAAATAACAATTTGCATGCTTAATAAATTAAGGAAAAAAAAAGCTACTTTTTTAAGTGTACTAAATCTACCATTGTCTTCTAAAATCTTAAAAAAAAAAAAAAAAAAAAAAAAAAGAAAAGAAAAACCCGAAGATCTGACCACGAATGTATGATAACAAAGATCTAAATAAAAAAAGAAACTCTCTGTAAAATACGGTGAAAAGCAACCAAGGATTGCTGTAGATTGTATATAGTAGTGTTTCTTAACCGCCGGTCCTAGGACCGTCACCGGACCGTAAGAAGTATTTGCCTTTTTTTTTTTTTTTTTTTTTTTTTTTTTTTGTCTTCATGATTTATTTATGTGAAAAAATTGTGCCAATGGGTTGAATTATTAAACTTACCGGTCCGCGAGAACATACCGAAATATTTTACCGGTCCTTGGAGTAAATTAAGTTGAGAAACACTGGAATATAGAACTGTATAGATTTCATGAACATAGATCTTTCCTCTTCAGGACGTTTTCTTTTTCTCTTTGCCTTCCCCCCTGTCTGGATGTGTATGTATTTTAATTTAATCACTAAAGATTCACTGTAAGGTCAACGCCTTACAGTGAGGTTAGATGCACGCCGACGGATATAGCAGTGCTGTCAATTTACGTCAATAGATGGCGCTGTAGAATCACATCTCCTGCAGAATTTAATTCTGCCTTGAATATTTTCTCGCGTTAACTTTATTATATGCATTTCCACTGTATGCCACATGCCAATGAGCCTATTAATCGTAAAATCTTTCCTCTCCTCTTTATGCTTTTGTGTTGTATCGTGTTTATATAAAAAATTATACAATACCAAAAAAAAAATTATAAAAAATCAAAAATTCAAAAAAAAAAAAAAAAAAAAAAAAAGATTAAAAATCTAAAAACTCTCAAAAAAATCATGTATTCTTAAGTTTTTCTAAATTCTCGCTATCCCTAAACTTTCTCGAGCCGTGTGGCTCCCTCTATTTTACTACTTATGCAATTTACTACTTTACTACCTCAAGTTTACTACTTATGCAATTTTTTTTATTTCTGCTCGCTTTTACGTAATTCTGATGAGGAGGTACAGGATTTTGAACCATAGGCACTCCGCAATTTTTAATCATTGGCATTGGGTAGCATATTGACAAAGCCTACAGACCTTTTTCTACCGTCTACTCTAGTTGGATCAAAGAATATGTATAGACGTTCTTTGGTTGGATGAAACATCTGCTTGGTGGTCATATTTGGAATGGCGAGTTATCGCCTTGTAGGCTTTGTAACAATCGCCAAACATACCTTGTAGGCTTTCAATAAAGCTGGAAAAAACAGCGTTTGTATCATTAAATTTTTATTTTATGAATGAAAGCTAAGGGGATTGTGCGAAATATATTTTAAAGAACCTACTGATCTTATTAATAATTTATTTGTATTTGGTTAAAGAATAAATGGTTGATCTTTAGATTATGGTAACTTGGCGATTTTTTGGCGAAAACTTGGCGACCAACTCTGTTACAGCAACCCTCTATTTTTTTTTTCGCCGCCATTTTGTCTTCACGAAGTAAAGACATGTTTCTTTTCTTTTTATTTACTGAACACTTTTTCCAACAATCTACTAGCCGAATTACACTTATGCTAGAAATTTTATGTAACAAAACTGCTTAATCATGACAAATATTAACTGCAAAATTGGGAAAAAGTGCACAATCGCAAACTCCTTGCGCGTTTTTCAGAATAGCACATACACATAAACCATTTACACGTCGACTTATTTTTACTTAAAAAACATCCCAGAATTGCACAAAAATGGCATTGCACACACTGTTCACTTTATCCATCTACACTGCTATTTTCTCATAAATTACAAAAATTTGCACGAAAATGCAGGAAAATTTTGTGAATCTTTAAACTCTATACCCTTTCCAAGGATGAACATTTCCACGTATAAAATAAATAAAATATCCAAAAACTTTTACCTCTAAATTATCTATTATATTATAAACGTCACCAACGAATTCATACCGCAAACATTACAAATACTTAGTGTCAAATATTTAAATTATTTCCATACACGTTTACTTCAACTGAAACGTATACCAAATTCCTACAAACATAAAATTCACAAAATAACTATCATTTAATTAAAATATCACTAAACCATGTACACATCGACTTATTTTTATTTAAAAAAACATCCCAGAATTGCACAAAAATGGCATTGCGCACACTCTTCACTATATCCATATACACTGCTTTTTTCTCATAAATTAGAAAAATTTCACGAAAATGCATGAAAATACTCAACGTATTCCAAAATACTACAAACATATAACTCACAAAATCATGATCATTAAATTAAAATAAATTAAATTAAAAACACTACTTAAAATATAAATAACACATACGTTAAATTAAAAAAATTAGATTACAATCCTAATTACTTTAAACTAAATCACTGCTAATAAACAAATTTCCAATAATAGCATATTAATTTATTTACTTACTTATATTTAGAAACAATTCATAAAAATAATCTCTTCAAATGATTAAAAATACGAACATACCTAATCTTCAGAATCTTCATTACGTGGCACGCACACTTCCACTATTTTCCACACACCACAATGAAGCTTAACCCTCTCGCTGCGTACGTTTTTCATCAAAATATGTTAAAAATCTGCGTACTTTTCTTATAACATATTTCAAATCTACATATATCTGAAAGTTAAACTATACAAAAAATTTTTTGCAAAAGAGTTTTTTTATTATTATTATTATTATTATTATTATTATTTTCAATATAGAATTAGATCATAGAAGAAGGTTGTCAGAATACTGAAATTGAAGAATAATGATATAAAAGGAAAATTCTGAAAATTAATTGGTTAAATTATGATTTATTTTATAAAATACAAAGGTAAAACATATATACTAATGAAAATATTTGCATAATGTACTATTTTGCATATCAGTTTGCATCACTGTCCAACATTTTCAATAGAAACTGAATTTTCAGATTCATCATTATCTGCAGAGGAATCCGACGAGAAATTCTCATCAGTTTCGCTATGACAATCTTCAATATACTTGAAATCAGAGTCAAAACTACTATCAGTGTCGGAAATATCACTCGTGAAATGCTTCCTGCCAGACATCTTTGAATTCTGAAATGCTACATTACGTATTCTTGCATATTTGGCAGAAATGTGGACAACTAACACAATCTGTTAGTCCACATCTATATAAACAATTAAACATCACAGAAAAGCCGAAAGGAAACATTGAACGGGGAAAGAGCGGGTTGCACAGTTAAATAGATGGCAAAAATTCATCCCCGCGGAAATCGCGGGTGGCGCAAATTTTGCTACTTTTAAGTTGTGCGTGGAAATCGCGGGATGCGCAGCGAGAGGGTTAATACAAAATAATATAGTACTACAGTTTTCCAAATTCCCCCTCCCCTTTTCCGATTAAAGAACTGTAATTCGTCCATTAATGTCACATGACATATCTCATGATCTCTCATTTCCCTCACACAAAATAATGCGTAATCGGAACTGAGTACTTCTCACATTATTACCAAAGTCCTAGGTAGTAACCTTTATCGCCTCCAAAATGTCGCCAAACTTACCAGTTACCATATTCCAAAGATCAGCCGAATAAATTTAAACTGTTAAAAGTCGTTAATTATTTTGCAAGAAAAGTGTTTACTTGGAAATGACATACTATGTACCTTTTCGCCATTTCTGGTAGAAAGAGCCTGTTGTGTAAATTTCCATAGCTCATTAATTTATACAAAGGCATCAATGAAACTCTATAACGAAAGGGAAATATATAACTTTCTAAACACATAAATAAGCGTTATACAAGGTCTAAAATTATTTCTGAACATCGTGGGGAAATATAGTAAAATAAATAAAAAATATAAAGATAATAAAGCTAAAAAGAAAAATAAAATTGGGTTAGCAAGAGTGAATGCCACAGCAGACTGGTGTACTGTGAGCTGAGCGAGAGCATTTAAAAAAACATAACAAATCCTTTTGGATGATCATGAAAATTTGAATCTTTTCAGATTTTCTCAGATAATTAGGAAAAATCTTACATGTATTAAATTTCAGATCCCAGATATCAAATGAACGCAGTCTGATTATTAAAAATGTGGATATCTTAGATGAAGGAACATATGTTTGTGAAGCTGAAAATTCTGTTGGAATGATATCATCTGAAGTTACTCTTACTGTTCATTGTGAGTATAAATTTTAAATCCTTCATTTCTAGAAATCCTGCATTTCTGATTCATATATAAAGATATTTTATTTTCATTTTATTCCTTTTGTATGTAGTATGAAGTAAAGTGTACAATATGTTAATTTTCTAATGTATGTTATTTATATATTAGTTTCTGAAGCAAACTTATATTTTAGCTCGGCCTAATTTTTTGGTCAAACCCAAAGATCAAAGAATTGGCTTAAATGGTATTGCCAAAATGGAATGCAGTGCAAGTGGAAATCCGCCTCCATCAATATTTTGGACTAAAGAAGGAAATCAGGTGAACTATTTTAAGTTGATTCACTAAGATAATGGTGATATTTGATTAACTATTTATGTAATCCCCTCCGGGCTATAGGTTTTTTTTGGTGTTGTGTGTGTCTGCATGGTGCTATCATATGTTTTCTTTTTTAAAATGCATCCCGTAATTTTAGAGTCCACTAGCGGCCAATAAGCAAAGTCGTTGAATGTTGTTAGTTTTGCCCTGGTTTCAAATGGGTTGGCTGCATGGGTATTTTCATGGTTTTCCTCATGTATCCTGTGTGCATGAGCCAGTTTCCCTTAGAAAGTCCTCCATAAAGTATCCCTTCCCTTGGGCAGATAACCCTAGTAAGCTTTCCCATAACCAAATAAACCAAACTCCTAATTTCAGTTCCATCCATAAGGAAAAGAAAGGGATTGAAATCAAGTGCTTAAATACATCTAGCAGATATTTTTAGTGAGCAGTTTTAATAATAACGGTAGGTATTTAAATTAAAAACTTGATTTTTTTTAAATTATTAGTAAGTAATTTGGAAAAGTATCTTGTTCCAAGATGTTGTCAATTCTAAGATACTTTCATTTTATGTAACAAAAAGATGCATCTTATATTTAAAGATGTACAGCATATATTTCTGTTTTATTTGAATTAATTTTATTTGAAACAGTACTTTTCTATTATCGTGACCAGATTCAGAAATGTATGTATGCATGTATAAAAACATGTATGTGTATATATAAAAACATGCATGTATATATATGTATGTGTGTATGTGAATGTATGCACAAATATGCATACAAACATACATACATATATATGTACATACATTTCTGAATTCGGTCTCGATAATGAAAAAGTACCTTTGGAAGTTCTGTTGAGTTATAATGAAGCTAATAGTCATAAAACATCTAATAGTCATAAAACATCTAATAGTCATAAAAAATATCTAATAGTCATAAAAAATATCTAATAGTCTAAACATCTAATAGTCATAAAAAATAAAATGGTCTTACCACAATTTGTCTCATTCTGATATCTAAGATTGGTTAAATAAAATAATTGTGTTAGGTTAGCATGGAGGGTAGTTTTGTTGATTGCATTATGCAACACTCAATGCCTCTATAATAAATGCTGCTAATTATAAATACAGTACAAAGTCCGAGATTCGGACTCGTCGGTATTTCCACGATTCCGGAATTCGGATTTTTCCGGATATTAGATCATCAGTTTAAATCTAGTAAGATGGCATGTAGAAATTATAAAATTAAAAATATGAAATCATGATTTATGAAATAATGAAGCATTTATGATATAAATGGTATCAAAATGTAAAAAAAAAAAGCTTAATATTTATAAGTTTACTTTATTAAACATTTCTTTCAGTGTAAGTTGTTTAAGTAGCTTTGTTTTTTATGCTAATACTTTCTCTTTAATTCAGTAGACAGACATAATTTCTTGTTTAGTTACATTGTTGAAGTCCTGTTAACTGCTGTGTCGGGAATTCCATCTAGCTTGTCAATCAAAATTTTTTCGTTTTCAGTAACCACTCTGTCACTATTGGTATTGGTATTTTCTGGATCTAGAACCATACTACAGATTTCGCCATCCATTAATTGATTGATAATTGAGAAGCATTGCCATCACAATGAAAAACTTCTTTTATTAAAAATGAATATATATTTTTTTAAAGTTGGTGGTGGCTTTTTTGATGTCCAGATTTTAGATCATTCCGGATATTGGACGTCCGGATCTCGAATTTTGTTGCATTACTTCAAGACAGGAAATAATTATTCCAGTATTATTGAAGAGAAAAATAGAAGTTATAGCTATCCTTTAATGATAAAGAAATCATAAGCAACTATTAAGCTGTAATAATTTGGTAAAAAATAATAAACAGTTCATTTATGACTGAAAAGCTGCACATCTATAATTGAATATAATTCTGTTAACTTTCATTGCTATCTATCTAATTTTTGGGCCCACCAGCGGCCGAGCGGTAAAGTCGCTGAACACTGGTAGTTCGGTCCGAGGTTCGAATCCCGCGAACGGGTTGGCTGCATGGGTGTTTTCGTGGTTTTCCCCATGTGTAACGTGTATACGAGATAGTTTCCCTTAGAAAGTCCTCCACAAAGGCATCCCTCCCCTTAGGCAGATAGCCCTCGAGGCTTTGCCATAATCACACACACACTATCTAATTTTCCAATTTTAAAGGCATAAAAGTGTTTCAATGGGCATATCCAGTTTCTTATTCAAAAGACAGTGTAAAATTTTGATTCTCCCTTTGTGTGTGTGTTTTCAGTTAAATATCCTTTTTGATTATTTCATAAAATATTTCTAAAAGGTATTCTTTTGACCAATATTGGCTTAAATAGTTTTATTTGCTTGCCTACTAGAATATAAAACAGAGCAGTCCAGAGCAGGTGTTTGGTATAAAAATAAAGCAGAATGCTTGTCAAGAACTGATAATTTCACTAAATAAAAATTAGAAGACATTCATAATGCCAAGTCATAAATGTTGAAATTTATGTGAACATAAGTATTTAATGTAATTTAATTGTTTATTGACAATAATAAAAGATCATGGTATAAATCAGGATAACTTATAATAAATAATAGGTTTAGTAATTAGTAAATCAAAGCAAATTAGTAAAATAATAAATGGGAAACAGAATAATAGTGGGAAAAATACTCGTATATTATCAGAGGTGAATTTATGAAATTTTGAAACTGATTTTGCTGAGTTTTTGTAGCTGCTTATGTTAAGATAGATATCTGATATGTTTACTATTTTTTAAATGTTATGATGTGGGCACCATGGCTTCCTTGTACGACCTATTAAATTTTACAAATTTTTTGCTGCTTTCATTTAAACTTATTTCCTTGAATTTTATTAAAGATATATTTCTAATTCAATCAATTCAGTTCTGACTTCTCAGCAAGGCAAAAATGCATAAAAACTCAGTCACCATTAAAAATTGTAAAAAACATAAAACACCAAATTTAGTTTAAAAAAGAATACAAATCTGAAGGTTTTCAGATTTTATATTAAATCCAAAGGAGCTTTTTTTTTTAAAGTTTTATGTGTTTCCTTTATTTATTAAGTGTCATGTTCTCAATTAAACCGTAAAATTCAATTCAACAGCAATATTACAAAATATTTAAAGAGCATATCTTTAGAATTTCTCATACACAATCTAGGGTGCTGGAGATAAATTTTTTTTTCTCGTACAGTGTTGCCATTGCTCGCTGTGAAATCATTGAGAGTCTTAATCAAAAGCTCATAAATGCTTTACAAATTTGAAATAAATAATAAAACAAATTCCAAATTTGGGCTTCCAGATGCCCATATTCGGGTGGAGGATTACGTTATTCAAAATTTGATGTATGTAGGTACCTAGGTATGTTGATGTATGATGTATGTAGGTACCATTGTTTTATCACAATGCGAGAAACATAAACATATTTTTGCAGCTATTATATTATTTAATTTATTTAAATATAAAATACAGAGCGATAATATTTGGTGGCAACAATTTGAAAAGTGAAATGCCACAAAATGCATAAATGAAATTAAAACAAGCAGTTCGAACAGTGGACAGGAAGACAAAATTTTTGGTGCACAAAATTGAAGGTTAACTTTTGTTCACACTGGGCAAAAAGCCACTGAAGTTTATGCAAAGAATATGCATTCTTTCTTTGGTTTATACACCAACTGATCTAATTTACTACTCTGCTAAGATTTTCAAATGTAAACAAATGGCAGCCTCGTTAGGTTATTGGTTTTAAATAATGGTTACCTGTATAGTGGTTTTAAATTGTTGATAATTCTGCAACCATTGCATTCAGGTTTATTTAAAGGCATGAAAACTTTAACCGGAACATAAGAACTGCATAATTCAATCAATTTTAAAGCAAAAAATGAACAGTTTACCAGTGTATAAAAAAAACTGAACTCAGGGAGGCAGGTAACAGAGTGTCTATATTTATTTATTTATTTATGTATGCAACAAAAAACGGACTTGCACAATTACATGTTATCCCATATATGCCTTTTTTATTCTCTGCTTAATGTTTATTAGTATAAAAATATCAGTGATGCAGCATCATATTGTTTATGGGGATTCTCATATTTTAGATAATATTGTGTATTATTATTATGTTCTTTAACAAAGTTGCTATTCTGCCAGTTATGGTTTGATGTATTATGCCTGCAAGCAAGTTTTAATAGTATGGTTGTCCTCTAGTGGTATAAATAGCAATCCAGCTAATAGTTGAGAGATCCATGGGGCAAATCCCAGTGAGCCAGCGAAGGTATAATTGAATTTTTTTAATTATTTTATCTATAAACTGCTTCATGGACCTCTTCTCCCTAAGACAGCCAAAGGATTATAGTATCATCTTTTCTAATGCTATCATATTTGATTAAAATTAACCTTGTATTAAGGCAATGCTGGGTTGTTTGAAAGCATTAAAATCTGTTCAGCCTGAAGGATGGGTATAGTGGATATGCCATGTCTTGTAAATTCTGAAGGTTTTCTTTATTATTAATTTTCATTACTGCAGTTTTAATTCATGAAAGTAATGTATTTGTAACTTATATGGCTGGTTTTACCGATAACCAAAGCATCGAGAAAAATGTTGCCACTATTAGATGCCTTACCCCCTTACAATAAAATACACTTTTGAATAGCAAAATTTTAATAGAAATGTTAGGAAAATCTTAAATTTAAAACCTCTTGTGCTCGAGGCACTTTTCTGTCGAGTGAACCACCAACTTGAGAGTAATCAGCCACTCCCGCTTATATCATGAGTTCCTTATTGTTAACTTAAAATAATTTTGGACACAATAAAACACTTTAAACTCGTATATTTTAACATTATACATATTTTTTTTAACTTAATGAAACATATGTATTAAACATTACGTTCTAAAATTTTGCTTCATATGATATTTTACAAACAATCTCCAATTCATCCTTGGCTTGTCGGGGCATGTGTCCCAGTAGTATACAGTTTGTCGCTTTGGGACGTTCTTGGGAGCAACCTTGCAATCTTTCTTTTGCCCCATCAAAATAATACGCAGTTCCCATTTAGTCGGATCGCTTCAGAAATGCTGTGTGAAGTAGAAGCTGTGCTGGGTTGTTTTGTCGAAAGTCTCCTCTCAGTTGATCCACTAAAGTTTTTTCAAATATTGTAGGTGACAAGCGGCCGTTCGTTTCTTTGCTTCTTTACTGATTTATAAAGAATGTATGAATTGATGGAGCAGATCTTCAAACCCCCAAAAAATAGTTTTCGCCACCATTTTACGGATTTTCTTAAAAAACAATATGTCGAAGCCAGTTGGTCAGCTCGATCAACACCGCTCATAAATTTGATGTAATTTACAATAACATTGGGCTTTTTTATAATGACTTCAATACTGCCTCGTAGAGTTCTTCTTAGAGGAGTTATTCCCACATTATTCCAAGTAGTCAAAGCCGTCACGATCCTCTTGTCCTTCACGCAAGAACAAAATATTACCTTTATGATATGCACATGTGGTTCGATTCTCAAATTTTGGCTTTCGTATTTCACATGGCAGGTGCTTCTATTTGTCATGATTGTCCCAGTTAAGTGGCACTTTGTTTGCGTAATTCTTCCGCAATATGTAACTCGTATAATAACGGTTCGTGAACATGTGGTGTCCCTGAACACCGGGAATTTTATCCTGTATCATTTTGTATAGATGTAGCGGTATTCTGGTTGATACCGGTAGATCGGGTCTTATCAAAGTCTCTCTGTTGTTAGAGATCCATAATACGGCAGAATAGCACAACTATGACTAGCCGGTATTTGAATCTGCGAGCGTATAAAAACCCGAATACCCCATTTTGTAGGTTTCATTGGATTGTACGTAATGAATGATATGCGGCCTTTGAATTTGACAGTCGACTCATCCACACAAATCTGCTCTCCGGGTACAAAATAATTCAAGAACCTTTCATTTATATACTCGAGGAAACACGAACTACCTCAGAACGGGTTTTAGGGTTTGTGTTTTCTGAGGGTATTGTCTTGGGGTGACGTCTCCAAAAATATTTGACAAAATCGGTCTCTCGTAAACGTATCTGAGTAAAACGGAATATAACTAGTATCATTTTTCGACCAGTATTTCTTGTATGTTTGCCAGTGGCATTGTCCCATATTTATGATTGCCCAATAAACGCCCAAAATTCGGTAACTGTTACATCGTACCATGATCGCCATATAGAATGGGATGATAAGGTCTTCCCTTCCATCCTTCCTTGCAGTGTCATTATTGTTAGTTTCCTGCACTATATCAGTAACCTAATTCCTCGGTGAAAAATAATTTGAAATATCTATTGGTTCTTTTATGTGTGCAAATACGTGCAGTCCTACTTTGTCTTTCACCGGATACAAACGGTATTCTTCTGGGGATTTCTTCCGATTCTGTGCACACTGTCCAATCTGAAGGTTCAGTCTCTTCTATAAAATCACTTTGGCTTCCAGATTCACTATCAATTATTCGTCTTCTTTCTCCTCTAACGTCGTCACTATCTTTATCACTTCCGTCTTCGTTCTCATGGGCAAGCTGTCTATGTAGTGATGTAATTTCGTTCATTATTGCCGAAAAATTAAACTCATCTTCGCTAGAAGTAATTTCTTCATCATGTTCCATACTTATTGGGCTCAGTAACTTTGAAAGAAATACTGCGATCGGCAAGAAGGTTGAGTTCGAACTGATGTTGAAGACAGAGTCCTACCCGCGGTCGCAAGTATTTTTGAGATAAGACATTTAATCACATAAGCATTGCAAAGACAACCTTTATTTGAGATAAGACATCCTTATAGCTATTCAGACACCTCGTAATATGATCTGCAAAAATCCAAGTAGATCTCTCAAGTGATATTCCATAGGTCAAACACAAATAAGCACATCGATTTGAACGGTGCCTCTCAGGTACCGCTCGAGTTATCGCATCACATGCAGTGGTGCCTGAGAGGCACCGCTCGATTGCAAAGGGTTAATTTTGTTTCAAAAATACGAATTCTTACCTTAATAAGAAAAAAAAAATTTTTTTTATGCTAATTTTTACAAATTCCGTAGGTAGATTAAATATACACACTTGAAAAGAATTTGAAAATTCTAATATTTTAAAGCCAAAAGACAATTTTTTACGAACGAAGAACCGATTTCACAATTCTTATTACTTGGTTTAGGTTATAGCCTTGGATTTGATGCTTGTTTGCCAATAAATGCAACCAGACCATAGGTTTTAAGCACTGATTGCTAGTAAAACTGATAAATACCCTTTTAAATGCAAGCGTAATAATTTCTGTAACGATTTTTTTTCTCTTTTTAAGGTGTTGATGTTTCCTGAAAGGTCTTATGGAAGATTCTCAGTGAATAGGGAAGGCACTTTAATTATTTCTGGAGTTCGTAAAGAGGATGATGGATATTACATATGTTCTGTTTTGTCTGGTATTGGATCATCAATGGCTAAGGCTTATTTGGAAGTTACTGGTATTAAAATTTTCCTTAGAATATCATCCAAAAAATTTTTGGTTTCATTAACTAGTGCAGATTTTTATGTTTATTTTTTATTGTAGCTATAGGAGATCTACCAGCTCCCGTAATAAAGTTAGGACCTGCCAATCAAACATTGCCTCTGAATACCAAAGCAAGGCTTCCTTGTGAGGCGAGTGGTAATCCTGCACCTGTTATTCGATGGCTAGTAAATTCAACACCACTGGCCCAAAACTCTAGATTTAGGATTTTGGATTCTGGGACTTTGGAAATTGATAGTAAGCAGAATTAAATGTAGTATATAGTTTTTACAAATGTGAAAGAAATTCAAAAATAAACTTAATATGTAATATAATACTGGAGACACTAAATATAACTTAATAAAAATTACATAAATAATAATAATAGTTATTATTATTATTTATGTACATTTTAGTATTAAATTTTTGAATGTCTATATTTTTTGATAATAATAACAACAACAATAATTTTTATATTGTATGTATGTATGTGAAAAATCTCAGATCAGGGTCTTAAAAGTGTTTTAAGTTTCAGTCTTCCTCAAGTAATCTGCCATTTATGCTTCTGAAACTTACTTCCATAGTTTCTTTCCTGGTTCTGTCTTCCCTTTTTTCTGTTTATTTTATTTCAAAGTAATGCAAAAACATTTCTTGGAGAAGTAATGCAAAAACATTTCTTGGAGTCTAAAAATTAATTAATATAATGTTTAGTATCTCAATTCAGTGTACATAGTCTGAATTTAAATTAGTTTAATAAATGTATTTGTAGGTATTGTTTAGGGGGGAATGATCATTTAGGTAGAGGTAGATTTTTTTTTGTAACTTTCTTTTAGTCAGTTTTTATTGAATGCCATAATTAATTGTTGGTCATTATTACATTACCAGATATAATTATTCTTTAAATTTTAGTACAAATATCCAGTTAACCTCCTTTGGAAATACTATTTCATTGCATAGAATAATTGGTGTAAATATAAAATCATTAATTATGGGGTCACCTTAAGAAATTATAAATTTTATTCTTTTAAAGTCATAATCAGTTAAGAGTGTAAATATGCTAAATTATTTTCTTCAACATTTGTATTCAAATTTAATATAATTTACCTGAAAATGTAAATAACTAGAGAACAGTATGATAATGTTTTAATATAAAAAGAAAGCCAAAATCCTTATAATAATACTTTTTTGTAGTCGAATAATATAAATGGAAGTTGAAAAAAACTACACTTAAGTAAGGCAGTAATGTGTTTTCATTCTTCTTCCTGCTGATTTTCTAACTCTCAAAAGTTTATAGCATACTAAATATTTAAAAATTTGATTTATTGATTTTTGTTGTTTTTAGTTTAATGGTGTAATTTATGTGCAGCTTAATGCTTTAAAAAATGTACCCTTGTAAACAGTTGGTGACAGTTTTTAAGCAGTGAAGTAAGATAAATGGATATAGCAGAGCTCTGGTCATAGAATTCCAACAAATACAGTCAAAAGTCGTTAATCCGGATTCGTCAAGACTTCGGCGATTCCGGATTATCGATTTTTCTGGATTATAGATCATCAGTTTAAATTTCTTAAGATGGCATGCAGAAATTCTAAAATTAAAAATATGAAACCGTAATTTATGAAATAAAGAACAATTATGATCTAAAAAATTTGCAAGAAGAAAATAATATTTATTTGTTTACTTTATTAAACATTTCTTTTAATGTAAGTTATTTAAGTTTTGCTTCGTTTCATGTGATAATACTTTCTCTTTAATTCTATTAAACAGACATAATTTCTTGTTCAGTTACAAAGTTCCGCTGTTCAAGTCCTATAATTGCTGTGTCGAGAACACAGACTAATTTGTCAATCGAAATTTTTTCAGCAACAGCAATATCGCATGAGCATATCTTCTATAACCTCTGTTACTTTCTTCGCTATCGGAAGCGAATTATAATGACGAGGAACTTGTTTTAAATCATATCAAAGACGGAGCATATCGAGATGAAACTACATTTGGTAAGGAATTATAGGCCAATAATAAAAACATCTGCGCTGAAGATAAGGATAGTGCTGACAGATCAACTTCCAATTCATTACGCGCCCGCTGCGGCGTTCCCCCCCGCCGGCAGCGTGAAATTGATAAACAAGATTTCGGATTTCAAAACATACTTTCGCTTTAGATCCTTTACATATTAACAAAGATATATCGGAAATTCTATTGATATAATCGAAAGTTTAAGCTTACTTTTATAAAATTGCTCTTACAGTCTGCAAAAAATAATAAGCCGGATCCAATTCGAAAATTAAGGAACAACACAATCATCAACATTAACTGAAATAGATAATTTTAGCTTATACGTCCATTATACATAAAACGCGCACGCAAAAACGTATTCTGCACTTGCGCACACTCATATGCGCAGTCGTAAAAGGTCTTACGCGCACGTGTAAACGCTTATGCGCATGTGTCAACGCGGCGCATGCGCAGAAATTTTTTAGTTTTGAGGTCCGGATTATAGATTATTCCGAATTATGGGTGTCCGAATTAACGACTTTTGACTGTACTCTTGGTTCATAGCATCAGTGGTATAGAAGAATACTTCCATGATGTCCAGATTCAGAACATAAGCCTGTTTAATAGTTATCATGTGCAATTAATTGGTGCCTTTAATTTGGTTAAATTAAAAACTGAATGAAATAGATGCTTCAGTTTCAGAAAGCACTCATTTAATGTGTACCAAAAAAGTACTATTTTGAATTATCAATATTGAATACATTTATTGCAGTTAATGAAAAAGGTGAGATTTGTTTTCCTTGCTTATTTTTTGAAATTTTAGAATCAAACTGGACATACTACTTCATTTCATGTTTCACATTGATTTTTTTATAATGCTTGCTTTGTACCATTGCAAACTACTGAAAACCCAGTTTTTCATCAGAATCACTTATCTTTTAATGATATTTAAATATCAGTCAGCTGCCTGTGATTGAATTAGATCATCAGTGGGTTTGCTATAGAACAATAAAATTTCCTTTTACAGATATAAATTCAAGTGGAGCTTTGAAAGAGCCTTGAATCTGTTATACAGTCAGAAGTCGTTAATTCGGACACCCACAATTCGGAATGATCTATAATCCGGACCTCAAAACCAAAAACTTTCTGCGCATGCGCCGGTTGACACCCCCCCCCCCCCCCCCCCCCCCCCCCCCCCCCCCCCCCCCCCCCCCCCCCCCCCCCCCCCCCCCCCCCCCCCATGCGCATAGGCTTTTACGCGTGCGCGTAAGACCTTTTACGACTGCGCATATGAGTGTGCGCAAGTGCAGAATACGTTTTCGCGTGCGCGTTTTATGTATAATGGACGTATAAGCTAAAATTATCTATTTCAGTTTAATGTTGATGATTGCGTTGTTCCTTAATTTTCGAATTGGATCCGGCTTATTATTTTTTGCAGACTGTAAGAGCAATTTTATAAAAGTAAGCTTAAACTTTCGATTATATCAAATAGAATTTCCGATATATATTTGTTAATATGTAAAGGATCTAAAGCGAAAGTATGCTTTGAAATCCGAAATCTGTTTATCAATTTCACGCTGCTCGGCGGGGGGAACGCCGTGGCGGGCGCTTAATGAATTGGAAGTTGATCTGTCAGCACTATCCTTATCTTCAGCACAGATGTTTTTATTTTATTTGGCTTATAATTCCTTACCAAATGTAGTATTTCATCTCGATATGCTCCGTCTTTGATATGATTTAAAACAAGTTCCTCGTCATTATAATTCGCTTCCGATAGCGAAGAAAGTAACAGAGGTTATTGAAAACGAAAAAATTTCGATTGACAAATTAGTCTGTGTTCTCGACACAGCAATTATAGGACTTGAACAGCGGAACTTTGTAACTGAACAAGAAATTATGTCTGTTTAATAGAATTAAAGAGAAGTATTATCACATGAAACGAAGCAAAACTTAAACAACTTACATTGAAAGAAATGTTTAATAAAGTAAACAAATAAATATTTAAGCTTTTTCTTTTTGCAAATTTTGATACCCTTTAGATCATAATTGTTCTTTATTTCATAAATTACGGTTTCATATTTTTAATTTTAGAATTTCTGCATGCCATCTTACGAGATTTAAACTGATGATCTATAATCCGGAAAAATCGATAATCCGGAATCGCCGAAGTCCCGACGAGTCCGGATTAACGACTTTTGACTGTATATGTTGACTCGTCAAACATAAATAGATTACTGTTTATTTATAAGATTAAATTAGATTACTTATACATAAGAGAGACATTGATGCTGCATAGTCGGCAGCAAGTGACGAAAGTGATGCAGTATAATTACCGTGCACTTGCCTAGCTACAGTAAGGTTAGAGGCACTGCCATTTATTGGCTAGCACAGTAAAAAATATCTAACATGGCTTTTTATATGTAGAACAAGACTAGTGCATGTTACTAAATTAGTACAATAATTATTTTAAGTCATTACTTAGCAGTTAACTTAAGAACACATTTTGGCATTAAAATTATTACTTAACAGTTCATTTTAGAGAACTTAGCAAAATTACATACCTTAAACAGTGGCATAACTAGAAATCTTGGGCTCCTATGCAAAAACATTTTGACCCCTCCCCCGGTAATTTACAGTACTCCAATAAAAAATCTGAATGCCTTCAGATTTTACCTTTTGCCCAAAGCATTGTTCTTTTAGCATTTAATGTGCTATCTTTGTTTATTAAATATAATGTTCGTCGCACTTAAACCATAAAATTCAGTTCAACAGCAATATCGCATGAGCATATCTTTAGAATTTCTGATATACAGTGTCATGCGCTGTAGATATAATTTTTTTTTCGTGCAGTATTGCCATTGCTCGCTTTGAAATCGTTTAGTTTTTAAACCAAAAATTCATTAAAGTGTTACAAAATATGAAATCAATAATAAAACAAATTCCAAATTCGGGCTTCCAGATGCCCATATTCAGTGGAAGATTACATTATTCAAAATTTGATAGCTCTAGGTATCGTAGTTTCATCACAGTGCAGGAAACATACTCTTATTTATGCAAATTCTTCACTGTTTAATTTCTTCAAATATAACACAGAGCTCTAATATTTGTTGGCAACAATTTGAACAGTGAACTGACATTTATAGTGAACCAACGTGAAATGCCAAAACGAAATTAATAGCCCTACTGGGCTAACGACCTTAAAAAAAAAAAAAGAAAGAAAGAAAGAAAGAAAAAGAAGATGAAAGAATCTTTAAAGGTTTTAAAT